TATTATTAATATAGTACATATTATTGTTGCCGTGACAGCAATAATTCATCAACAGCCCATATCCAGATGTGTTATGTAGTCAGGAGGGATTTTCTGCATTTTAAGACATTTCAGGTGATTATATTGTTGTAATGCTCTACAGTCTCAGTAAAGAATGCTAGTATGAATGTTTGATGCATCCTCCACCACTTAATGCTCACAACCCATGAGGTTTGGGCCTTTTCTTGATTTGCATAATTCCTTTAGTGGATGAGGTGCTAAAGTAATGCAGACAGACAGCAAATGCAAATAAACAACACTATCAGAGGGCACAATTCATTCTTGGTGAATTTCTCCCTAAATTCCAGTGCACTCAGGATGTGAGAGAAGTTCACACTGTCATCTCTGTAATTATATCATACAGTAGGTGCACTCAGAGTCTCTGGCTTCAGTTGGAGCGGTGTTCAGCTCACGTCCAGCTATTGTCAGGCCGCTTGGGCTGAGGCACATGAAATCTGGATGGTCCTGGTGAGTGGGAAGTGCTGATTGAAAACTGTAAGCTCTGTTGGGGAAAGGGCACCAGGGGGACAGCTCAAAGACAGAGCGATGAGTGAGACGCCTGAAATAAATAAGTAAAAACAAGAGAATAAAAGACAGAGAAGAGTGACACGGGCGATGGCTTCCCTTTTCATGGAAGACATCAAACAGACTACTGCTGAGGAGATCTTTTGTGTGTTCAACACAGAGCAGGAATGAGAGCGAGAGAGAGGAGGAGGAGGATTAGAGAATATTCTAGACAAGGGGAAAATAAATAACTTCAAAAAAATGAAAACTTCATTTCTGAGACTTTCACAAACTAGTTAAGTCCTTAAATATGATTAAGGGTAGTCATTGTTTAAAAAAAATATATAACAAATTACATTCAAATAAAAAATAAAAAGGAAGCAAACCACAGCAAATTAAGCAAATACTTGGGGTTATGTTAATAATTAATGACTGTCGTTTTCCGCTAGTTACATCCTTTGAGATTAAGTATAATTAGAGTTTTCTTTAGCTCTAATAAAAAAAAAAGAAGCAAACAACAACAAATTAAGCAAACAGTTGGGGTTATGTTAATAATTAATGATTGTCGTTTTCAGCTAGTTGCATCCTTTGAGATGAAGAATAATTACCGTTTTCTTCAGCTCCACAAAGACATTAAATATATAAATAAGTCCATAAGTACAGGAATGAAAGAGAAAGGCAGACGAGAAGAAAAAAATCGCAAACTCTTGAAATTATGGTTCTTCGCATATTGAAAAAATATTAATCTGATCACTGACTTATCAAACATTTGAGACTACACTGTTAAAGTTGATTATTTTGACAGATGTTAATTCATATATTTTAAGTTTAATATTATTCTACATAATTCTACATTTATTCTACATAATTATTATAAATATTAATTACTTTTGTAATATTAATTATATAATATTGTATTAGTGATGTGATTCAATCAATGCTTTTTGACACATGGAATAAATCAATTTTTCTAAAGTCCAATAATGTAATACAACATAGATTACATAGTGTACAAATATTTATTTATTTTGTATTCACTTATGATCCATACATTGTAAATAAATGCTGTACATTCCAAGAGATATGAAAGCCAAAGCAGTGATTGGATCTTCTCATATTTACATAAACAACAGCAATTCAAGTGAAAGATAAATACATTTTAACCTTAAAAAAAAAAAAAAAAAAAACTTTTCTGGGATTAAAATATTAAACTTGCATTAATACCAAAATGAAAAATGATCAATTGCCTTTTGTAAAAAAATCAAGGCTGTAAGCAGACATTTGTGTGCAGAATATCATGATATAATTTAAGCAATGCCAAATTAAATATGATGAGAAAAAAATAAACCTGAAGAATTCAAGAATGGCCTTTACACATTAAAATATTCAGTGCAAAAAAAAACATTTAGCAGTGTAAAGGTGATCTTTATGGTGTCTGACAGTTTCAAGGTTGTCCTTTGAATTTCCCAGCATTAACTTCTCCAGGCATTCTCAAAGCATGATAAATTACAAAGTATTACTCAATAGAATTTCTTGACAAACCTGAAATACAAGCAACAGACTTTTATTGAAACAGCCCTGAAAGTAACCTCACCACCCAGGATCAGTGACACAGCTCTGCTTATAAAGGAAGCACATTGAGTCCAGAAAGTTAATGTTTATCCTCTGTTATGATTGGGTCCTAAAAGTTCAGATTTTAAATCCAAATCAGATTTGTGTGCAATATCAACAAAGCCTTGGATATTGTTTATCCAAGTTTTGATTACAGACAATGAAACCAACTATACATATATATATATAACTACGACAGAATATTAATTTTAGCAGAACTTAAAATGTTACCCATAACTCAACCATTTTTCCTAGTAAGGGACTCCTGTGTGAACTTGAGACTTTATTTGACCTTACTAAAGTAAATTTGTATTTATCAACTCAATACTTTTGGGAATATGCTCAGTTTAAAATTTGGATGGAGCTCTGGACGACTTTGGAACATGTGGAAGGTTTATTGGATCTTACTGAGGTTGAGATACTCCCTTATACTTATAATGTACTGTAATATCCTTTTAGGAGAAAAGAATACAGAACATTCCTTTTACAAACTGTGTTTTGTAGTCTACGGCCAAAATATGTCACTGCTGTAATTTCACTGAAAATTACTGAAGCTCAAATATCACGAAATTAAAGAAACTGCAGAATTATGTTCAATTTTGCACCTGTGAGAAATGGCCAACTGGGTCTTCCCACATTACAGACGGGAAATGGAAAACTGTGAGAAAATGCCTCAGTTCAGATATATTGTCAGTGTCCACTGGCTCTATTTGCTATCTCTGGGAGGTCGCGAAGTTGGGGGAGGCCGAGAAGATCAGTGGAGTTAGAGGATAAACAGTCCAGCGAGATGACTGGTATTTTTCTGTGTCTTGGCTCTTATTCTAGATATCTGTCTTTAGAAAAACACTCCACAATATTTAAGAGCTGTCTGACCATCTATCCAAAAACTAACAGCGGACTGGAAAGTTTGTGTACTGGGGTGGAAGGTCCCATGTCAAGGGTTTCCTGGGGACTTTTAGTGTAGATGCTCACATGCAGCTGCTCTGAGCTGTCTCTAGATGGGCCGTTGTGTGCATGTGTTCATGAAGTTCCTGTTCCTTGAGGCAGAAGTTAGCTCAAAGTTGTTCCAAAATATCTACGTAAATGTGTTCGTGTTCCTGAAGACTCTGAGTAGCCGGTACAGGTGTGTTTAATTAGGGTTGAAACTAAACTGTGCAGGAAGGTGGCCCTCCAGGAACAGGACTGACTCATGGCAGGGGTGCCGCACTTAACATTTTGAGATAAGTGCACCCTGAGCACGTCCTTTGGCCGAGTACACAGCAACCCCAACTTTAACCTGGTCAACTGCAATCTCGAAAGAACCTTCCTGAACTATACATCTTGTTCATGGGATTTCACAAAAGCAAACTACTACCTGACAGTATGTGGCATTACATCACTAACATGTGGACCTGAAGGAAGACTGCAAGTCCTTAGTGTGTCATTCGGGAGTGTGATTGAACATTACATTTATTCTTTGACAAGTCTTGTGAGATTCCCATGCACTGTATTCAGTGAGACCCAAAGCAACCCCACCCCTAACCCAACCCTAAACTTGTCAAATATGTATCTTGCAAAAAAATGTATGAACAACATCATTGTGGCTCTGGTCAATGGGATTCCATTACTATCTGATAGCAGCACTATATTACTAACACACTGACTGGAGAACTGAAGAACCTTAGGGCAGCATTTGGGACATGGCCATGGTAACCCTCATTCTGCGAAAGTTTCGCAAATTCAAATTCAGGCCATTCATGCACTGTGTCCATTGGGTCCCAAAGCAACTCCAACCTAACCCTAATCAAACACGTGTTTCATTAAACTTTCGCTGAACAAGCTTTACCATCCAGACAGCACTGGTCCATCTAGAGCAGGGGTGTCAAACTCAATTCCTGGAGGGCTGGAGCCCTTCAGGCTTATTTGGAGCCCTTAGCAGGGTTGGAACAAAACTCTGCAGGGCTCCGGCGCTCCAGGAATTGAGTTTGACACCCCTGATCTACAGCTTTACCATCTAGACCAGGGGTAGGCATTATCAGTACTGGAGTGCCACTGTCCTGAAGAGTTTAGTTCCCAAAAAAAAAAAAAACCTGCCTGTAGCCTTAGTAATCCTGAGGACATTGATTAGCTTGTTCAGGTGTGTTTGTTTAGGGTTGGAGCTAAACTCTGCAGGACAGCGGCACTCCATAATGCCTATCCCTGATCTAGACAGCACTGTGGCCAACCGTGTGTACCAAGCAAGAGTTTTGCTGAACTAGTTTTATCACTATACTAGAGGTGTCAAATGCTTTGTCCAAATACCCACACTTGCGGTCTTTGCACTTGACAACTTATATGACATATTTCCTGTATTTGGCCCAAGCGTTCAAGTGAGGATGAAGACCACAAGTGTGTGTCGAACTTTTCATTACCTGGTGGGACACACTTATAATATTGTAAAAATGCAAGTGTTTACATAGCTTTATTTTAATTTGTGCAACACATCTCCTTCGCATAGAGTTGATCAGGTTGTTGATTGTGGCCTGTGGAATGTTGGTCCACTCCTCTTCAATGGTTGGAAACTAGTAATCTAGACATCACCGTAGCTCTGGTCCATGGGATTTCATAGCAACTACTACCTGACAGTGGCTCCAAGTCATGTCACTAGCCCCGATTTTCACTCACTGACAGAAAAGGGGTGTCCAAACTCAGTCCTGGAGGGCTGGTGTCCTGCAGAGTTTAGCTCCAACTTGCCTCAACACACCTGCCTGGAAGTTTCTAGTATACCTAGTAAAGACATTGATTAGCTGGTTCAGATGTGTTTAATTGGGGTTGGAGCTAAACTCTGCAGGACACTGACCCTCCAGGACTGAGTTTGGACACGCCTGAACCAGATGGTAACCCAGACAATCGTGCAATGTGAGAACAGCAGCGATTTGATGACTTTGAAAATCATGCAGTGTGTGCCCGGCATTAGAGGAGGACTGCAGGACTCTACAGAAGCATTCAGCACATGACCATGGTAACCCTCAGTCTTGCAAAATTTGGATGGGGCATTCATTCTAGCTTAACCTTGTCAAACGTGTATCTCATGAGAATTTCAAATGTACCTTATGAGAATTTCCATTAAGACAACCATGCATCTCTGGTCCATTGGATTCCACAGCAAAATACTACCTGACAGTCTATGCGCCATTGTGTCACTAATGTGTGGACTGACTGCAAAACCTTAGGGTAGCATTTGGGGCAGAACCGTGGTCATCCCCATTTTGCATAAAGTCTCCCGAGATTTGCATGCATCATTCATGCATTTTCTTCATTGAGTTTGAGAACAATCCCAAGCCTGACTAAACACTAACCTGTTAAATGTCCATCTTGTGAGAGTTTTTCTTTCTGAACAAGGTCTACAATCAAGTCATCACTGCAGCTCTAGTCCATGGGATTCACACCAACTTCAGCCAAAGTTCAGACGTCTGGGCCATATTCCACCCCCAGAACCACAACACTTCTGGACACTGGAGATCAAGGGATCCGTTTGTGTGAAGTGTCAACAGTATAACCATCCATCAAATCTTCTCTATACTGTTGGGGAAAATTGCAGACCCAACAAAACATGCTGTGATGTGCCTTGAGATTGGGAAAATCCACAATAGTGGACATCATCAGCAAATTTATCTTGCACTCTATTCCTTTTGCTCTTTTTTTACGTTGAAGGATACAGTCGAGACAAGCTTTTGGAAAGTGGTGGACCAAAAGATTGATTGGGCTGGTCTGCTCAGTGTAAAGTCCACCCTTTTTATCCGAGCCATTCTCTAAACACATGTTACCCTTCTTGGCAGATGACAAGTAGATGAATCCAGGTCTTCCAAGTGTTTATACATGCCATAGACTTTTGTTCTCTTCAACACAAAGTTTGGCAAAAGCAGTCTCGCGTGTCAAACTTTCTAATCCCTGATTGCCAAGTTAGAAGACATTCGATGGATTTCTTTTTTTATTGCAGAAGTCCACTGATGTCAAGTAGTTTGTTTTCCTCAATGTAGCATTCACCCATAATGGGGGTTGCACACTTGTAAAGCACATGACAAAGTGACAAAAGTGCATGATTTAATGGGATTCATTAGAGGCCGGTCTGACAGAGGCCATCGCCAAAAAGCTTCCCACGCACACAAGCAGAGCTCTGTGCAAATATGTTGCACAAAAAAACAAATGAACTGCAAGCGGTCACATCTGGCCTGTAAAATGAATCAAAGAGTGGATAAACAATGTGCCATTGAGAAGGAAGAGTTCTGGAGGACACTAAAAGTGAAATGCAATAAAAAATGAAAGTTTAGGTTGACTTGTGTGAGAAGTGGTTTAGTTCACATGTGACATGACTGAGACCAGTGTTAATATAATAATGGTATTATACAATTTAAAAACAGTTTTATTAATGGAGAGTGGCTGATTGGTCAGTATGATGTTTTAGCCAGGCTAAAATACACAGTATCAACTCTAACACGAAACACCTGCACACAACTGCAAACACCAGTTGAGGCAACTCTTAAAAGGATAGTTCATCCAAAATTAATACTTTTTTTTTTGGCCATATACGAGGAAAGTCAGCAGAAAGCTATTGCCTTTACATGTATGGACAAAAACAGTGGAAATATTTTTTCAAAATACAGTATCTGCAGAAGAAAGAAAGTCATACAGATTTGGAAGGAGGGTGAGTCAATGATAACTGAAAGTTAATTTTTGGCTGATGTTTTCATGTTTTTTAAAACATTTGATGAAACTGCTTAGTAAAATTATATTAATTTTGGAAATTTGTGTCAGTAATATTTTCTTTGCGAAGTAATAGTTTTATAATATTTTTAAATGAACCACTTTTATACCCACCATTGACCACACATCAACACTATTTTATATTGATGTTTGGGAACCCTAAACAGGCCTATAGTTTGGTTAGTGAGCCATGTCACTTGGAATTAATTTATTTCATGAAAATGTTCTGTTCTAATGGCTGTTTTAATTTTATTGTGGTTATTCATTCATTCATTCATTCATTTATGGAAATTAACTTTTTTTCCTTCAAGGCACAAAATATTCATTCAATTAAATTATTTTTTTTAGTGGTTTAGCTTTGCTATGAGCAGTTCCTAATATCAAGTATATCAAGTGTGACAGGTTAGAGACAGTCTGTTTCATCACTCAACACAGTACCTTTTTCTGCACTAAAAGATGCTCTCTGCACATGCCTTACTTTAATCATTAATTATTTTCCTTACCAATATCTCCTTTTGTTCTCTAATTGTTTATTTCATCTTTCAATAGATTCTTTGGTGCCATCACAGTATGAGCCAATGTTTCTTATTGTTTGCATGTATTTCACTCTCTTCAGATGAATTGTTGAGGAACTGTGCTGTAGAACTGTAAGGGAACTATTTGATGGCTATTTATTACACCCTGGCCTGAAAATCAAACAGTACTCCCTTCCCATAAGCCTTTGCCTATACCCCATCATGCGTCTTATCCATCTCATCTCTTCAACACCATATGTGCTTTGTTTGACTCTCCAGGCGGCATGAAAAAAAAAGCCTCGTCCACCATCTCCAGACCACTCCAGCCTGCCTTTGATGGGATTAGAGTCCATGGTGACGTCATCCGAAAGCTCTGTATAGTAAAAATAAAACCCCTTTTTAAAGTCAGGCCTGACAGACATGCAGTTTGCTCCTCTTCCTGCGGAGCGCTAATGCAGGTAAGACAAGGTGAAATTCAAAAATTTTCAACATAAGTATAAACAAACAATTGGTTAAGGGCACAAGATGGGAAGCGCAAAGGGATTGAAGGATAAGTGCTGTGTTTTGATTACCTCTGGGCAGGGTTAAAAAGTCTGCATGAGTGGCACTTTCCATGAATAGTGCACAAAATAGTCTTTTTTTCAGTACAAGGGGGTGCTTTAGAAACTCTGTTACCATAAATATCTAAAAACCTGAGTTAGGCTTTGTGATTTTCATTATTGTTTTTTTTTTCTCAACAAACATTGGTAACACTATACTTAAAGCCTTTATATATAAAGCATCATTTTAATGCATTCATTATGCCTTGTAATGCACCTTATAAATGCATTGTCTGATATCATGAATAATTGTTACCAGTTTTAATACGTAATAATGCTTATCTATTAATTGTTACACCTTTAGAAAACATAATGCATTCAAACACATGACAAACAAACCTTCAGATATTAGAATGCATTTTAACTTTGGTTACAATTGATTAAAAGATATAATGCGTAACAATTTACATTATGAATACCTCATTCAAACCGCGCTTTGCTTTGACAGTCAATCACTGGCGTTGGACTTTTGAATCAGTATCGTTAATGTTACACTATTTTAGTTTATGTATGAGCTATGCTCTGATTTTAAATTGTAATTTTGACAGCTCCTGAAATGGGTCATACCATTGATTTTACCAGAGCAAATAGAAAACTCGGTTGATAGAAGGACCCAGTTATTGCATGGACGGAGCAAGAACAATGTAGCCTAGGTGTCTTAGGCATGCACACAGTTCAGTTTAATGGTAAAGTTTGCCCTCTTTAACAGTGCAGTTAAACTAATTGTACGAAGCTGAACAACATTGAAATAAGAGCCCATGCATTTTTACGTGCATATGACTGACAGATAAACCATGATTTATCTGTGAGTCAGATAGATGCCCATAAGAATGTAATTTGTTACAATAGGAGAATAGTTGACTCCAGGCACATTTTCGGTAGAATGTAAAAAGAGCATTTTATTTAACCCATACCTAGGCTTTGGGAATCCCAAATTGATTCCAATTCTGGAACAGGATACTTAAGGTCAGGAACCGGACACTTGTTATAAAATTACAATTTCGATTCCTCTTGGATGTCGCAATTTTAAGGAATAACAGCATTAAAAAAGATCAAGACAAAAGATAACAGGGTTGCACATTTAGCTCAAATTCATCTCTCGATACCCATTGGGTTGTAGTTCTTGCCTGATTACCTTATTTTTCTGTTAGCTATTTACATTTATATTTCTTAACTTTTTTGACTGATATTTTCTTCTGACAATAAGCTTGATAACAGGGTTGAACTGTTAAGCTGGGCAAATATGCCATACGGTATCATAGTTTCTGGCAAATAAAGTGAGTTAAAATTAATTAAAATGTCATTGTAATTACACAAATATCAGTTATGAAAACATGAATATCCTTATGTCAAAAGTGTGACATTATTGAATAATTTTTATTATTTAAATTATTATTCTATACAGTCAAGAATGCCAAAGGCTAAATTAACCATTTTAAGAGGAGTTACAGAGATTTGATGCATTTAAAATTACCTTTTCATGCTATTTTATTAGTACATAAAAAAAACTGGGAATTGTGTAAATAAAATAGTTTTAAATGGGATACTAAAGCGTACCAAGTTAAATGGGATTCACACTGAGAGAGAAAAAGAGAAAATGTATGCGTAGAAGACATGGGCTAATAACTTGCAGATGATGTGGATTGGCCCCCTCTTTGCTTCGACTCATGCTAACTGTCATTCCCAGGGGGCCGAGGGTCACCTGTCTATCAGCAGCAGAAATATGACCATTTAGGTCATAAATTTTCTCATTTGTTCTGACGGCAGCCACTCGTTAGCTGTGTGGCGGTGCTGAGCGATGACGCAGTGGTCACTGAGGCCAGGCCACCGAGTTTAACATGCATTAGCTCACTGCTCGCCTTTAATCTTTAATGAAAGGAGCCTGTCAGTTAAGACGAAGACATCAGTTAGCAGAAATTAAAACCTTACAGTGAGCTGCACTTGAGTCGTTTAATATATAAACTTACTGACTGCTGTGCCTAGACTTACTAAGATGAATTCCTTGTGCAACTGTGACGAAAATGGCCACGAAATCTAATAAAAAATGGCTATGTTGTGGTATATTGTGTTTTTCAGGTGTGCATTTCAGATTAACTCCAATGAGAATGTTATTTCAATACAATAATGTGCAATATAATGGGGTGAAACTCATGAAACCTGTAAAGAAATTAGATTTTGCATGAAGAAAATTAAGCCTATTTAAGGCATTATTATGACAATACATTTTTTTCACATAACTTATAAGATTCATAGAGTTAACAATCTTAAACATTACTTAGCAGATGTTATCCAAAGTGACTTCCAGTATTTCAATTGCTGCAATCAAATTTAACATTATTCGCTGTCGTTAAGGTATTCGAAACCGGATACAGACGGACACTCAAAGCAATTTCCCTCTCTTAACGTCTGTCTTTTTCTACCTCACACACAGAGATCTGAGTGCATTACCCTGATTGCAACACTTAATGGAGTCACAGTCTTTCCCATGGGTGACCACCATCTCAACAAATCCACATGAGGGCAAAGGTCAGGGTGAATGTCACTTCCATGACTGTCTTAAAAGCCCGGCAGCATCCTAAGAGCCACTACACTGGGAATCACATCTGTCAGGTATGAAGGGTTTGAGAGCTGATTGATTGTGGAAAATAAAATCTGAAAGACAACCTTAACTGTTCAGCTGTAGCTTGAATTTTGACAGCAAGTCAAAAACATTGTGACTAGTTGGTTGAATGATCATATATACTGTATAAAATCAGCTTATCAGTCAGCGATCAGCTCATATACAACACAAAGATGCATTCACATGACTTAACCCAGTAAATAAGACTTTAAATTTTATGAAAATAATTTCTACTTCTTCTATCCTACTTCTAAATGTAGTAAAGTGAAGTGACCATCATTCACAACCCATGTCCTCTGACAATATTATCTGATAACCTTATTTAATCTTTAACCTATTTAGCCTTAACCTGCTGCTAACCTTAACCTCGGATACCAATTTCTAACCTCAGAGGTTTGGAAGTCCATCGAACTGCTATCTCTGTAATCACTCCAAGACTTAAGAAACTGGGAGCTGACCCTAATAATTTTGCAAATTTTCGCCCAATTTCCAATTTGCCCTTTCTCTCAAAAATTTTGGAAAAAGTTGTTGCATCTCAGGTTCATTCCCATCTTTTAAAAAATAGCCTGTTTGAAAAATTTCAATCCGGTTTCCGCCCTTTGCATAGTACAGAGACTGCCATGGTAAAACTTGTTAATGATTTGCTGATGTCAGCTGATTCTGGACTTTTAACTATACTTATTCTACTCGATTTAACCGCGGCCTTTGATACAATTTCTCATGAAGTTCTCTTAGATAGACTATTCTCTATAGGTATTACTGGTGTCCCTCTTAGTTGGTTCAGATCTTATCTCTCTGGGCGCACACAATTTGTTCAACTTAAAAATTTCAGATCATATGTCTCACCTGTTACAGCTGGTGTTCCTCAAGGCTCTGTTTTGGGCCCTCTTTTATTTATTATTTATTTACTACCCCTTGGTTACATTTTTAGGAAATATGGCATCAATTTTCATTGCTATGCTGACGACACACAGCTTTATTTGTCTTCTAAGCCAAATTCTACCCTTCTTTCTTCCTCTCTTTTGGGCTGCTTAGAAGAGATTAAATCCTGGTTTTCGCGTAATTTTCTCAAGTTGAATACTGACAAAACAGAAGTTCTCCTTGTTGGTACCAAATCTAATTTGTCAAAATCCAACAGTTTTGCACTTTCTGTTGATAACTCTATAATCTCCCGATCTACTCAGGTTAAAAGTCTGGGTGTCATCCTCGATAGTACTTTATCTTTTTAAAAGCATGTGAACAATATTACTCGGTCTGCGTATCTCCATTTACGGAACATCAGCCGCCTTCGTCCATTTCTCACACCAAATTCCACAGCTATTCTTGTACATGCTCTAGTTACCTCGCGCATTGATTATTGTAACTCTCTTCTCTTTGGGCTACCTTACAAACTCCTTCACAAACTTCAATTGGTCCAGAATTCAGCTGCCCGTATAATTACTAGAACCTCCTCCATCGAGCATATCACTCCAGTTCTCTACCATCTTCACTGGCTTCCTGTTAAATATCGAGTAGAGTATAAGATTCTACTTCTCACTTTTAAAGCTCTTCATAATCTTGCACCACAATATCTCTCTGATTTGCTTCATATTTACATCCTGAAGCGTACTCTCAGATCTTCTTCATCTGTTTCCCTTGTTGTACCTTCTATTCGTTTAGCCACTATGGGGTCTAGGGCATTTAGTTGTGCTGCTCCTAATCTCTGGAATTCTCTTCCACAATCTATACGAGAAAGTGACTGTCTGACTACTTTTAAATCATGTCTTAAAACTTACTTGTTTAAATTAGCTTTCTCTGATCAATTTTAAATTATTTTATGTTAATGGTTGTTGTTTGTTGTATTGTTGTCTTGATTTTATGATTATCACTCAATTGTACGGTGTCCTTGAGTGCTCTGAAAGGCGCCTTTAAATAAAATGTATTTTTATTATTATTATCTCATGTCTTGGCACACATTGCCAAAATTATGTATCTAGTCTCCCTTGGTACTACTGGAACCTGGAGAGTCCCTGAAAACATCACTATTCTTGAGATCTTCACACTCCCTTTACCTCAGGTCAAAACCGAGGTACATTTCCACTCATTTCATCATCTTTGAAATCTGTATTGATCCCATTCCTTATCTTACACTCCAAATCTTTTGAATTTCATGCAGTGACTATCAGATCCCATTGTCAGAATTTCAAGGTAGGGTTAGGTTCCCTCTCCAAATCCTCTTGTTGCAGAGCTTGATTCCCAGTTCCTGTAGATCAGAGGGTGTTCTGTCCTGCTCCTGGATGACCAATATCCTGCAGAGTTTAGCTCCAACCTGCCCGAACACATTGGCCTGGAAGTAATTAGTAATCCCGAAGAAACTGATTAGTTGGTTCAGGTCTGTTTATTTCTCTTCAGGGTAGTGGCCCTCCAGGAGCTGTATTGGACACCCCTGCTGTAGTTCAGCTGGTGGAGCATCATACTAATAATGCCAAGATCATTTACTTGTGTCTCAGGGAACGTTTGTCATGATAAAGTGTATATCTTGTTTTGGATAAAAACGTTTGCCAGTGTACAGGTGCATCTCAATAAATTAGAATGTCGTGGAAAAGTTCATTTATTTCAGTAATTCAACTCAAATTGTGAAACTCGTGTATTAAATAAATTCAATGCACACA